ATATATATATATATATATATATATATATATATATTATATATATATATATATATATATATATATACATATATATATATATATATATATATATATATATATATATATATATATATATATATATATATATATATATATATATATATATATTTATATATATTATATATATATATATATATATATATATATATATATATATATATATATATATATATATATATATATATATATATATATATATATATATATATATATATATATATATATATATATGTATATACATATGTATATACATATGTACATATATATATATATATATATATATATATATATATATATATATATATATATATATATATATATATATATATATATATATATATATATATATATATAAATATATAAATATATAAATATATAAATATATAAATATATAAATATATAAATATATAAATATATAAATATATATATATATATATATATATATATATATATATATATATATATATATATATATATATATATATATATATATTTTACAGATGACTGAAACCTTCTAATTTTTCTAGACTCTTTGTAAATCAGGACAAGCCCAAATGGTCAATAACCTGCCAATTTCATTTCATCTTTTAGTAATCTAAAAATAGATTGCAAACTTACTACTTATTACTCTGAGGATACTTATGTCACTGCCACTATTATCTCAGTCTAATCACAGTATATGGGCCTTCTAGCTTTGCGCTATGGTGGTTGGACGCTTAGTACTATGGCCTTTATTACTTATCTGTATAAAAGCTATCCGGTACTTTATAGGTGAACATATTTTACAAGTGTGCCAGCTGGCCCCATGTGACACAACCTGTCATATTTATGTGTGGCTCTCAATTACCCTTAAGGTGTTTTTTTTGGAGGCATTGGATTAATCATCAACTAAATTTTTTGAGACATATTGGACAGATATATATACAACCCTGGTAGCCACAATGCAATTTTTCAGGGATGTTTATATAGATTTCAGACACTTATTGGGTTATTATACCTTGTTATGGTTATTCCCGTAGTTCCCACACACACACACACACACACACACACAAAACAAAAGGTATGGCAATAAGAAATGTTATAATAAATCCCAACATGCCAATGACAGAAATAACAGAAAAGTTTGTTAATTCTTTAAACAACTGAAAAAAGGAAAGAAGTAATCTTTTTCCTCCCTTCTTTATTAAACAGCCGGCATCTGCTCATGCAACTGAAGCTCCTGCAAGGTACCTGGCTGCAGCATTACCAAGAGGAGCCGAGGTATTTCCACTACACTGACACCCTATAAACAGAAACTTAAGGTAAACTAGAATTTTCCTAGAGTGAGGTGAAGGGTTCTACAGATAACTGCAGATAGTAATATAAATGATATAAATAAAAAAAGAAAAAAAAAGAGGAAAGAGAGAGAGAGAGAGAGAGAGAGAGCAGCTGATAAATTATGAAATTTTCAAATATGCAAAATGTCTTCCAAAGATACCAAATTAATATAAAGACAGAAATTAGAGAAAGAGAGCATAAAAAAGAAGTAATCATAAATGAAAGAAGATGGGAAAGAGGAAAAAAAAAAAAGAAGAGCCTATTTAAGAGAATCACTTGAGATAACCCCATACCCCAGAGCAAGCACTGCGTCAAACTGAACCAACCAGACCTACCTCTTGCATCTGCCTGGCCGTAACATTCATGTGTTTCATTTGTGCATAAGTGTTCTCCAAGTAGGCCATGACAGGGGCGAGGGGGGTGAGGAATATGACAGAGTACAAGGTGACCCGGAGGAAGCTGGGCAGCAGGCGGAACACAGGCAGGATGTCTGGCTGCGTCACGTGGATATACAGATTCCACAGGGAGAGCAGTGTGATAGGTAGTAGTATGAAGAACAGTGTCAGCACAAAGTTGATCTTGTACTGTGACTCTGTGATGTTGTAGAAAATCCCCATGAAGACCTGCTTCAAGATTTAAGAAAAGGGAAACAGACGTAAGTAATAGTCCTGTGTAAACTTTTAGCTATCAAAAGCTAATCATTAACAACAGCTAAATTATGCATAACAACAACACATTACATAAAGTTAAAATTCATGAAACTTATATCTTCCATTGAATTTTTTTTTTCAAAGAAAATCTAAGATCCTAAATGTGAAGGCATTAATGAGACATCTGTCCTCTGATCTTGGCACTCATTATCTACCAGTCCTCAGGGAATATATATGATATGACTATAAACATCCCTTCACATAAACAAATAGAGATCAACTCTCCTTCCTACCAATAAGGAAAAAAAATAAAACAAAAGACATCAAGCAAAAAGATTTGTCACTCTGTCTTTCCTAAGCCAACCAACCGAGCATAAAATTAATCTCAATGCTAACCTCTTCCGACTCCTCTCCGACAGGCAGTGTCTGATTGTCAGCCATATCAGTGGTATTCCTCATGATCCTCACATATTCCTTGTAGTACTCAACTGCCAGGAGAATGTCTGTGTACACATCTAGGTAGTAAAAGACAGAAGGAAGGAGAAAGCACGAGAGGAAGAACCAGAAGTTCCAACAGTGGCGCTGGGCCTTGGTCGACTCATACATGGCCTGGAGCTGAGTTCGGGCCTTGGAGCTGGCTTCAGTTGTTCCCAGTTGCACATGGAGGCACATCTCTGCACTGGGTTTGGTGCTGTGAAGGAGCTTCTCACACTCCAGCACCCGCACCACTGCATTGTCATACTGGCCTAAGTTGTTCCTCTCTGTGTAGAACTGCAGGAGCGTCTCCCCATTGGTTGCTTTCACATGCACCTTCCGTACCAGGCTGTATTCCAGGAACCTCTGGACTATGTCATACCTGATGAGAATACATGCAGATGAAGAAAATGTGTTTATCTAAAGACAGTGTGTTGACTTCTATTAAAATCTACATTCCCACGGTCAACTTAAGATAAGGCTTTCATATAACTGAATTTGTCTTTCAAATATTATTTGCAGAATCAGAATAATAAAATACTTTAAAAATAAAATACAATTTCAAAAAGTAAACAACCACAACAATAATGATGATGATGATGATGATGATGATGATGATGATGATGATGATGATGATGATGATGATGATGATGATGATGATGATGATAATAATAATAATAATAATAATAATAATAATAACAATAATAATAATAATAATAATAATAATAATAATAATAACAATAATAATAACAATAACAATAATAAACAATAACAATAATAACAATAATTTATGACCAATATAATAATAATTATTACTATAAATAACTTAATACTATTATGAAAACAATGATGATGATGATGATCCTTCTCACCCACCTGCTGGCATTGATAGCGTAATATATGGGCGTATACCCAATATTATCACAACGGTTAATATCTATATCCCGTTCCTCCAGCTCTGAGGTTGTCAGTAACATGTCAATCACTGTTACGTTGCCCTTCTTGGCTGCCATGTGCAGTGCAGAGCCCCCTCGGTTATCCACTATACTGAGGCGTGTCCCGGCATTGATCAGCTGCTGTACACAGGCCAGCTGGTTGCTACGGATGGCCACAAAAAGGGGGGTCTCGCCCTGGTTGTTCTTCACATCTGGTGATAGCTGAAAGCACATATGATACTTTAATGGCTGTCTGAATTTAATGGCTATCTGAATTTAATGGCTGTCTGAATTTAATGGCTGTCTGAATTTAATGGCTGTCTGAATTTAATGGCTGTCTGAATTTAATGGCTGTCTGAATTTAATGGCTGTCTGAATTTAATGGCTGTCTGAATTAATGGCTGTCTGAATTCCATGACATCTATGGCTGTCACGGAATATGTTACAAATATGTTACTACAATACATAGACTGAATCTGACAAAAATAGGAACTTATCTCCCTACATAAATTTAACACGTAAACCCACAATTTCTGAGACTTCCCATGACACATATAAGAGAATACATTCCCAGTAACCTTAACAAAAACTCTTCTCTCAAATGAAATTCTACAGCTTATTAAATAGCAAAACTGCACAAATAACAATATAAAATGAAATTCACCTTAAGCGAGAGGAGTCGGTGCATCATGTTGGGATAGCCATTTTGTGCAGCAAGGTGAAGCAGGGTGAATCCATCAGTGCGGCAGGCGTCAAGGGAGCAAACTGCAGTCTCCTCTATCACCTTGACGATACTCAGGCCAACCTCTTCGCGTGTGATAGCACTCCAGTCTTTGTCTATGGAATTAATACAGGAAAAAAAAGTACTGATGAAAAAATTCATTCAGATTTGCTTTACATGAAAGAAAGAAAAGAAAAAAAAAACTAATAGATGTCTGAGACTTACTAATAAATGGGTTTCTAACAGAATAGTAAAAACTGACATACATAAACTGACATAAATCACTACTTTAAAATATTTTTCTAGTTATGAATTATAAGCAAGAAAAATGGCCACTTTATACCACAGTAATACTCATCTTACCTTCCTCTGTGAGTGACACCTTTTCTTGAATTAGTGTGTTGACTATACTGGTGTTACCAGCCCACATGGCGACCCCTAGGGGTGTGCGGCCAAGGCGGTCTGATGCACTGACCTGGATTTAGTTGATAGGAAAAAACTCTATTAGTAATAAAGAAGAAATGAAACTGCATTAGTTTTGAGGAGTCATGGCTCTTGAATTTTTTACATAAATATTATGGATGGGAAGGAAAAGGATCAAGTGGAAGAAAAGTATAATGAGAGAATTCTATCCTTGATGAAGACAAAATAAAGGAACATAACAGCAATGCACTTTTAGTTGATCTGTTGCCCTAAATGAACTACTGCATTGTGAGTTGGACAGTAAATAACAGGTAAAGAAATTAAGTCACTGATGATAGAAAAAGAGGTTATATCTAACACAAAGTTTTTTCAGACATTTTTGCACCAGCAAGAATTTTTTCATCACTAGCTTTTACAGTCTCCCAATGTAATATATATACA